AGATGGATGGATACTAATCTGATGATAAAGTATGTTGATTATATCAAGAATCTGATCAATAATGGCTCAGCAATTATTGTATACAATTCATTCAGAGGCCATTTAGAAGAATCTGTCAAGAAAAAATTTTGAAATCATGATTTTGATATAGCGGTCATTTCTGGTGGTCTAACCAACATATGTCAACTATTGGATGTTACAATCAATAAGCCTTTTAAGGATAATCTACGTAAAGAATGGCATTTATGAATGGTAGAAAGAGGAGTCAGAATGACTACAGCAGGCAATCTTCATCATGTTAAACTATCTGATATTTGTGAATAGGTAAAACAGGCTTAGAAAAGGATTCTAGACGAAATGATTATAGAATCATTTAAAACCTATAAGATATCATCATCTTTAGATGAATCAGATGATGAAATCAGTGAAAATGATGACATTAGTGATGAATCTGATGATGATATCATTGATGATGGTGATAGTGATAAAGAGAAATAGTGGAATGATAATTACTAATCAATTTTTTTGTATTACAATAGAATTTTACGGGGTTAATTAGTTAGTATTGACATTGCTGAAACGAATGGTTATTCAGATGGATGTTATAAAATCATATAATAATTTGCAAAGGATCATAAGATCCCGAAATTGTAATAAATTTTATAATAAAAATATACAGAAATTTTATTATCAATGTTATTTTTATTATTTAGTTATTAAATTATTTGTAAAAACTTTTAAAAAAAAAATTATAATTTCGAAGGGGTATTTATTTTCAGATCTGAATTAATTTAGAAGGTGTTTATTTTTGAGGGACGCTTATTTTCAGAATAGTACAGTAATTACATTTTTTTTTAAATTTTTGCTTAAAAATATATAAAATTTATTATAAAAATATTAATTTTTAATAACATATTTAAAAATAATTAAAAATAGTTTTAATTTATAAATAAAATTACTAAAAATTTATAGGCAAAATAATTAAAGAAAATAATATTTTATTTAATAATAGATATAAAATTTTAATTATCTATATTATTAACATGCAATTCTATCAAATTATAACTGTTAAATGGTATATTCAAGTGGTAATTCTTTTAAGTTTACATAGTAACTTAATTTAGTTTAACTCAAGCTTTATAATATACATAGTGATGTATTCTCAACAATATTAGAAATAAGATAACTCAATTGATTTAAAGTTATAACGATATATTTATTTATAATAAGAAATAATAAAAAAATAAAGAAATAAGAAAATAAGAAAGAAAATAAAGAAATTAAAGAGCTAAAAATACTAAATGTGAAGGTTAGACCTGTATTTCTAAAAATTACTAAATGTGTACTTAAAAGCAAATTAAAAGAAAAACTAAAAGTAGATTAAAAGTGAACTAAAATTTACATAATTTTATCATTCTCTATTTATATAAAATTTAATACATAAATAGATATAACAAATAAATCAAATATATCTAATATGTCTTATTTATCTAATATATCAGTTATGTCAGATATATCATAATTTAAATATATTCTAAAGGTTCATTATGTATGTTGTAGATTAATATTTCTACTTTAGTAGTTTTTATGACTAATAAAGGTTATAAAAGTTGTTTTTGATTTCAATGGTAAAGTTGTTGATTTTTAATAAAATATTTAAAAGATTGTTTTCAAATTTCAAGTTGTTGTGTAGGAGTAGTATTTAGTAGATAGGTTAAGGTGTTAAGAAAGTTATAAAGTTAGTTGTAAGTTTTTAAATCCATTTTGATTATTAAAGCTGTTAGTAGAAATGGTTAGATCAATCCTGATCTGGTCTTAATCCTAGGACCTATAAATCTTATTAAACAGACCTGCAGACTAGATCCTAAGAGAGTGAGTCTTAGGACTTAAGTTTTATTAAGTTCAGTCCTAGACTTAATTTTAGGATCTGGTGATCATGAGCTAAATTATTTATAAATTTTGTATCTAAATAATAATTTTAAAAGCTTTTTTTCTTTATTATTAAATAACTTAAAACTTAACTTACTGCATATATCATTTATTTATTTATTAAAACCTTAATTAGTTTAGAACTATTGATTGGTAACATAAACTTTAAAAAATGACTAAGTTACGTTTTTTCTTTAACATTATTATTTATCTAACTTTTAGCATATAATGATACTTTTACAGTTTCTGATTGCAGTCAATTTTGAGTTTTCGTAATCATATTTCTGGCAACAGAAAATGCTAATTTTAAAATATAAAAAATATAATCACAAATTAATGAGCAATTAAAAAATTTTTAAATGATTAATTATTAATTTATATTGTTATATAATAAACTTATTCTGTTCGCATATAACGCTTGTGAATTATATCATCAAATAATCCCTTGTCATTAATATAAATGTCAGAAATTTAATAGAGTGAGCTTTCCACTAGAATAGTACATTTACATTTTTATTACAAGGCAGTATTAGGTATTATTCTATTCTGCAAAATTCAGATTATTTGAAGATAAGGTTAAAACTTGTGTTATTTCAATAGTTTCTTCTAAATGCTGTTTCTTTAATTGATAGAAATATTTTTTTCCTGATATATTATTATTTTCTTTAGAAACTAAAGTTTATAATTGTGAGACTTTACTATAATAAAAAAAAATTTTATCTTTTAAGATATTAATCATTTTTGTTATTGATTCACTTACTGTAATTCAAAAAAGAAAATTTTGTTTTGCAGATCTAAAATTATAGCAATCATATTTGCATTATTAAGAATTATCTAATATTCCTTGATCTTTTGATTTGTTAAATCAGCTAACATATATTAATCACCCTCTATATAATATTTTAGATAGTTCTGAATTTCATTAAAATAGAATCATATATCAACAATAGTTAGATATTTAGAACTTAAAAGATTTTTGGTAGCTTTTTCAAATGATTCTAAAACAATTATTATTTTCTATTAAATATCAAATAAATATAATAGAAGAGTTATAAATTTATTAAAATTAATTAACAAAAATAAATAATAATATATTAATTAAATTTTATTGATTTTAAAATACAAATAAATAAATAAATAACAGTAGTAAAACTATAATAGTAAATCAATAATTAATAATATTAATAGATATTTCAATTTACATAATATTATTTATAATATTTAAGTTCATTTTATCTGATTTCTTTGAAGAATATCACTTCTAACCCTCTTTCATTCTCCATCCAAAATATAGTAATTTTATTAAATAATATTTAGGCATTTTTATCCCTTCTTCTAATTAGTTCAGAGTGTTAGAGAAGGACTATATAATTTTACGCAAAATATATGTAATGTCCAGATATCTGCTCACTTATCCTGTGAATTAATGCGTAGTTCGATTTCTCGATAAGGAAATTGTATCACATAAATTACATGAATAAGTGTTTAGAGTTCTGAATGAGTTGAGTTGAGTCGAGTTTAAAGATCAACTCGACTCGACTCTCTTTTTTCAAGTCAAGTTGAGTCGAGTTTAAAGATCAACTCAACTCAACTCTCTTTTTTTGAGTCAAGTTGAGTCAAATTTATTTTATAAAATCTTTCAATTTGATTTGATTTGAGTTATATAAATTTTAAACTCGATTCGATTTGACTCAACTCGATTTTAACTCAATTTGACTTTGAAAAAAAATAATAAAAAAAAAATGAAAAGATTGGGAGAGGAGGGGGAGGAGAAGGAGGGAAAAAAAAGAGCAAACGATTTATTATCGTTCAAGTTGAACGATTCATCATTGTTCTTCTTAAACGATAAAAAAATATTGTTCAAGTCAAATGATTCGTCATTATTCTTCTTGAACGATAAAAAAAATCATTCAAGTTGAACAATTTGTCATTGTTCTTCTTGAATGATAAAAAAAATCATTCAAGTTGAATAATTCGTCATCATTCTTCTTGAATGATAAAAAAAATCATTCAAGTCGAACAATTCGTCATCATTTTTCTTGAACGATAAAAAAAATCATTTAAGTTGAACGATTCGTCATTGTTCTTCTTAATAATAAAAAAAATCATTCAAGTCGAACAATTCGTCATTGTTCTTCTTAAACGATAAAAAAAATCATTTAAGTCAAATGATTCGTTATCATTCTTCTTTATATGAGCCGATTTGAATCTGATCACATAGTAAATTTGAGTGATAAAATCAGATGTAACGTGATATCACAGTGCAGGTCATAACAAAATTTGTGATTTTATCCAATCTTCGTTCATTAAAAACAAGAGTAATCGCGAGTTACAGATCAGTTACAGATTGGTTTTTAATAGTCATTGAGAAGAATCATTTAAGTTAGCTTATTTTATAATATTAAAATACTTTACATTTGATTTGAGCTAAAAGCATACATGCAGGTATTAAATCAAGAAAATAACCAAAACGAATACTTTGAATTTATAAATGGTACTTTTTCCTCCAGTTATAAATTACAAACATATATTATATATTGTCAAAAATTATTTTCTAACTGATAAGTGCATTTAGATGGCTATTTTACAAGAAATTTCTGACAACAATATTCTGCAAATCCTTTTATAAATGCACAATATCTAACAGGAAACAGAATTTTTTATTTTTGATACAAAGTAGATATTATTCAACTCTGGTTAAAATAACACAAAAAAATTCTAAAGACTGTATTTAATACCAAATACCTGATAATTATAGTATTGAAACTGAAGTTTCTAAAATAAAAATTCGCCGTGAAACAAAATATCAGCTAAGTGGAAAAGTAAGATTTACAATAGTGTGAAAAGAAAATAGAGTAGAATATAGCATATATAGTGAATGTTCTGCAACTAGTATTACTAACGCATTTTTAAAGGTATTTATATTTTCTAGTGCAGTAATTAAGGAATATTTGTAATTTTTTTTTTACTGATTTTAATTTTAATTTTTATAGAAATTTAACTGTTCAAATTTCAGTTTATCTGGTATATATATTTTTGGTTTTGATATTGGACGATTGCATGAATATCGGATGGAAATAATAAGTGCTCCTATAACATTAATTAATAAAAGAAAATGACCTTTAGCAACAATTCAATCTATATCAGGACAAAATAAAAGATTTGCATCTCTAGGTAAAGAATCTGAAAATGTAATTAAATTTTTAATTAAAAAATATCAGATGACTACTAAATCAGGTCAACTATAGTTCATATTTGTAAGATTGAATTAGACTTTAATAGTGAAACCATTGTTTTAACTTATAAGGCATCTGATAAAGAGAGTGAACTTACAAAAATAGATGCTGTTGTTAAAGCTTGTGATGAGTCATTATTAGCATATGATAGATATCGAAGACTTGCTGCAGTTGAAACATCTCTTATACGCGAATATTTGATAGCTAATTGTAGAGTTAAAATTACTAATCTTATCAATAAAGAAATTAGAATTGGAACATTTGATATTGATAAAGATGATGATTTATCTAATAATTTTGAAGAAGATGATAGTGTAATTGTTGATAAAGTAGAGATCAGAAATGGTGCATATAGATCAATTTATACAATGTTACAAACTTTAATTCCAATTTGGAAACAGGCTTCTCCTGCAATTATTAATCTTGATGATACACTTAAGCTTAACTTGGTGGTGATGGCCGCAATGTTGGCAGAAAATAAAGCCATATAATGATAACATTTTGTCTTTTAAACGAAGGTGAAGAAGTCTTAAAACCTGAACACCAATACTAGTAAATAATAATTTATAATTTATTAAATTAACTAAATAAACAATTAATAAAAATAATTTGCTAGTATTTGTCTTTATATTGGATAAGAAAAATATGAAGATCTTGCTAAAATAGGACAATTATTTCAATATCAACTTTTTGATCTCCAAAATAATGGAATTTATGATAAAGATGAAATTCATTGGCCGGTAGAATTGTTTTTTTTAGGCAACTGGAAATTTATGTATATAATTATAGGGTTAAACGCTCCTAATTCTAAGTATTTTTGTCTATACTGTAACTGCCAATCTGAAATGCGATGGGATATGGATCAAAGTCATGAAAATTTAGGAAATAATGCTTGTAAGTCGATTTAAGATATGTTTTTTATTTATTAGTAATTATATTTTAATTCTTAAACTTTAATTAGGCGAAAATAGAAAACTAGCATTATTTCCTGCAATTAATCAGGAAAATTATATTTCTGATGAATTGCATCTATTTTTACGTATTGTTGATATCTTGATGAAATGTTTTTTTAATGATTTAATTAAAAAAAAAGAATTTGAAAAAAAAATTAAATTGGAGATTGAACAAGAAATGAAAAATATTAATGTACATTTTGAGTTCTTTAAATCTAGATCTACTGGTGAAAAATGGAACTGGACTTTTTTGATGGGTTCTGATAAGAAGAAAGTATTAGAACATTTTTCAGTTTCTCAATTTATTTCTGGTATTCGTGGACAAGATATTGAAAAATTATGGAGAGAGTTTTTTCAGCTTTATAAAATTATACAAAAACTACTTCTTTCAGATCAAGAAATTGATACATTTTAAATTGATGCCAAAAATTGGATCTGTACTTTTTATCGTGCAACTGAAGGACATCTCAATTCAACATTATAAATACCTGGATTATATCGTAAACAGGATGTAACCCCGTATATGCAAGTTTTTGTACAGTATATACATCAATTTATGCGTCAATTAAAAATAAAAAATTTATCATTATGATTTTTTTCTACTTCTAGCATTAAAAAAAAGAATCATAATCAAGTACGGTAATTTGGTAATACTAGAAAATGGGTATTTATTAATAAACTTAAGTTTAGGTGTGATTGTTTTTTGGCAGTACTACAATGGGTGAAGGGAATGAAAAAAAATCAGTAGTATATGATATTATGTCATTTGAAAATCAGCAATTATTTTATTTGATCAATGAAACTCCTAAAGAAATTAATGCTACAAATATTGATTCTAATAATGCTAAACTAAATCATTTATAAAAATTGAAATATACAATATACAGTAATAATTACAGTATTATATCAAATTAATTTTAAAATCTATTTTTTAATTAATCTCTGATTTAAAATTAATTGTTGAAGAGAAGGGCGCGGTAAAATAAATCTATATTGTGTCTGATTATTCTTTTTGGGTTATTTGAATTCTTGTTTTACTTCATTCCTAATAAAGAAAAATTAATATAATTAATTTTCAATAGTTAAAAAATTCATAATGAATTATGAATCTTACTCATTAATAAATTCTCCTGAGTCTGTCATGAATGCGTAAGTAACTGTATCATAGTGAAATGTTTGGTTATTTTCAACTAGTTCAGTTTGTATCCAACTAAAAGAAACCTCATAACTTTCTTTATAATTTAGAAATAGCACATAACCAGTTGTTTTTGTTATGGGGTCTTGTTAACTATTCCAATATTTATAATTTAAAATTTGTTTGAGCCTGCTTTCTCCTTCCTCACCTTTAAATGTATAACAGTACTTTCGTAGTACTAAATTATATCTAAAAGAAAGCTTACTTTGAAATAAATAAACAAAGACATTTTTAGGAAAAACATTTATCGAAAGCTGTTTAGGTCTCACAGAATGTCGATTAAAACCAAGGCGCTTTTTAATAAGAATTATAAATGCATCTTGGTAAGTTACAAGTTGTTCAAAAGAAGGCTGAGAAAGTAAGTGGAGGTGGGGTATAGTTTATTGTTTCGGTGTTTGGTTCTTTTATGAGATAAAAGCTGTTCTCATAAAGAAAATATCTTTTGGCAAAAAAAACATATAAGCGTCATATCAGGCAGGTATAACCGAATAAAATTATGTAATAAAATCAACAGATAAAATTAATTGATAAATTTGCGTAATATTAATTGTGTGACAATTTTTTTGATTGGCTGTCATTTATGCATCCTTGATATCACATAAATCACATTGGTAATAAAATCGAATAGAGTCAAATCAGCCCATATGTGAACGATAAAAAAATTATTTAAGTTGAACGATTCATCATCGTTCTTCTTAAACAATAAAAAAAATTGTTCAAGTTGAACGATTTATCATCATTTTTCTTGAACGATAAAAAAATATCGTTTAAGTCAAATGATTTGTCATCGTTCTTCTTAAACGATAAAAAAATATCATTCAAGTCAACTCGAGTCAACTTAAATCAAGTTGAGTTTAAATCGAGTCAAGTTAAATATTTAACTCGACTTGAATTTAACTTGACTCGCAAATTATCGAGTCAAAAAACATAAATTCAACTCGATTTAAACTTGACTCAGCTTATCTGACTCATGAGTTAACTTGATTCGTCCAGAACTCTATAAGTGTTAATTAATAAAAATATATATATATATATATTTTTTTTAAAATATTTTATTTTTATTTTTTTTTTAAATAAATTTTATAATATTCTAGTATATTCTACTCTAATAATAATAATTTTGTTTTCACTCTCACACGCTACTCCTGATTTTCAAAGTGTTATTATTCATATCATTATGTCTGAGAAAGCAGTCTTTTTTCTTCAACCTTCTTTTCTTGTAGCCTTCAACTCTTCTTGATACGTTGAAGCCTTTCGAAAGTAAATTGCCTAAAGTAAAGATCATCAAGTGATCGTACTTTAGAAACTGCAATGAACGAAAGATCTACTATAATCTCCTTGTATTATCATCTTGAACTCATAGAAGCATTTCAATAATAGAATCGTCTTTAGGTAAGGATTGAATAATTTCATTATCAATATTTATATTTGCGTAATAATAATTGTTTTGTTTTAATCATACTAATGCCTTAGCAACTTTATTTTATCGTACATTAAAATCTCTAAATGCTTTTGGATCATTTACTGATTGATGTCATACGATAAGAATGTCTAATGTTGATAGATAACGTGAAAGCCAAATTGTAAATTCTTATACTTCTTGTGAAAAATTTATAATATTTCTACGGTATCCGTATTGTCTGCCACGGAGTCTGTATATTAACATTACTATAAAAACCTGTGCAATTAACATTTCTTCAATCTCCGTAAAACCTTATAATTCTTCAGGTATATCTTCCAGATCCATATTATTCTTATTGGAAAACTTTTTTATAGTATCTTTTTCGTTATAGCATTGACGACACATTAATTCATTGACAATTATCATCGATGGTATTCTTTCATTACATTTGGAACAAATTTTACATTCAATTTCTTCCATATTTTTACGAAATAGTTTAAGAATTTCATATTTCTCCTCACTGATATTGGTCGCTAAAAGTGATCTGGTTGAATTATTCGTATCTCTTTGATTTTGATTTCATTTCACACATTTGCTTTTACATTCATGGTCAAAACGTGACTCTCGTTTCTCAACTGATTCAACATTTCTTTTTTGAGCTTTTGTTTGTGAACTTTTGTAAGACGAGTCTCCCATACTTTGTTGCTTTCTTGGCTTCTCTTTTGACATTTTCATTCTCTCTTACGTTCAAGACGTACTTCATGTTGCTCAGCTATTTCTTCTCTTTTGCTATTTCTCTTTCAAAGTGTCTCAGGATTAATACTTTCATTATTCATCTTATATCACAACTTGGTAAGTAAAATGTTAGGGTATAGTATTCTCTTTTATTTCACTAAGCTTTATTTATTAATAAAAAACAATTAATCTATATGCTTGATTTAAATAAACAAGAATAATCAATTTAATCAATCAATTATTTAATGAACAATCACTACATTTATTTGATATAAAATTTAATTTTATGTATTTTATTATTTGATATGCTTTACATAATATATATATTCGTTTATTGTGTGTAATCATCAATCAATTGTTAAAAATACAAATTTAACACAAATCTTGTTTCGATCTTAGTAAAATCCATTTTCTAGATTAAATAATAATTGTTTGAATAAAAAAAACTATTTTAAGATGTTAACCTTACACTTTTACCCAGTGTATAAAATTTAGACCAAAAGTTATGTGCATAAGTTGTACTAAAAATAGAAAATTAATGTATATATTACATAGTATTTCCATTTATAAATAATTATTAGGGATCAGCATCCCTAGTTCAGTTGGTAACAACTGAGCTCCTATTGTGGGTTACACTGCAATAGCCACAGGTTCAA